GGTTAGGTATTGACGTTATCTACATACAACAAAAATTTTCATACCGGATAACAGATATAACCATTTGAATTCTTGGATAACAATATTGCTATTTATGTTTTCTATCTATCTACCTACTTACCTACCTACCCTATCTATCTACCTAATACATCCTATCTCTCTCATCTATATATATAGATATATATATATATCTATCTACCCCAATAATTCGATGTAATAAAACACACTGACATGGACGTCAAGGGGGGACTGAAGGTAGTTGAAAGAGAGAGAAAGAGAGACGACAGGACAGAGAAGGAATGTTTTCGACTCGAAAGTTTGACTGCATCAGAAAAGTAATATCAGACTCAGTCATATTTCTCTTTTTGTTATGTTACAATATAGAAGTTACAAAGATTGAGTTTAACTTTACTTTCTTCGTAATGTTGCAAACAATTTTCCATTTAGGAAGACTGTAAACCTACTTTGTAGTAAATTGACATCGAGAGATCGATTCAATTAAGTGTGTTAAAATTTGGTTTCATATACCGGATATCGACGTTATATTCAATCACACGTACAACAGCCTACAGGTAACTGATTCTGCATCTCGCAAGTGTGTCCTAGACGAGACCAGTATACCTTACAGGACTACTTGTCTTTGTGTTTCGTCGGATGACGAGTCGTAGAGATCTATGAGTAGTGAGTGTAGTTGTGTTGTCGAGGTCTATGTTCAGGCCAGACGCCACCAAACAACTGATAGTACAGCAGGAAGAAATGACAAAAAGAAAGAATTAGCTCCGATACCATCATACGCCGCGGGGGTAGCAGTCACTTTACACTTCGATGATGTTTCTTGTGGCAATCACGTAATAATGTGTTCAAAACCAATATCTGTGTTCGAGCCTTTTTTTAAGGGGCTTCCAGGCCTGGTAGCCACTGGAGTTACCATCTATGCCGGTACTCACGCTGAGCGCACACCAGGGGGCTTCTACTCCGACTTGAATAACAATGCTATTTGCACCCAGAGGCCAGTACTACGAAGCTGGTTCAACCTAACCTGGATATGTTTGAGTTAGCCGGTTGGCCTAATCCAAAACATAAGCGCTCTCGCTAAACGGTACTACGAAGCGGGTTATCAAGTGGATCGCTCAAGCCAGCCGTGTCCTATTTAGTTAGGTGCGCGTTCACATGAAAGGGGTGGTATTTGGAGCATTCGATCAATCACAAACATGGAGAAGCGTACTGACAGCGCAGCATCATACTTCCTGAATGAAAAGTCAACTATAATATTAGACATATGAAGAAGTTAAACTTTAAACATCCATGACTTAAACACTGTATCCAGGATAAAAGCCACATAGTTGCACCTGCAAGGTGAATACAGCTGGTAAAAGAAAAAGTGTTTGAATGCGTACACTAACAGGTTTATGATATCACTAAGACACGAGTGGATCTGAATTTAATTACATTTGTCTCGAGTGTTTCGTCAACTTAATGTGTTGCTTAAAATAATACTTCTGCATACAGTGTGACACTGTGAGTGTTGCACGGCCAGATACGGCTCAGCTGACTCAAATAAGGAAATATGATACATTATGATGTGATATGCTGTATGACTGTACTTAATGTTACTCTGATCCGATTACTTATGTTGTGGCAGATATTTAAGTAAGCTTTCTTAACGCTAATGTTTTAATAGTCAGATTGCTCTGAACATGGGAGGTGATATTCTATTAATGTTCACGTTCACACAGTCGGACGGTGATTTTTGCCGGCCGTCTTTCCTGCAACGGCAGCTTTTCTGTATTTCCTTTCTCCTGTAATATGACTTGATCGCTTTAAACTCCGCACACTGAGCTCTGATTGGTAAGCAGGCAGTGCTTTCACTGAGTTGAACTCTTAGCCTGCAACCTAACCTGCTCCGGGGCAGGTTAGCTGCACAGCATAAGTTACC